AAAAAAAAAACATTTCAGAACAGTGCTGTCTTGTTTACATTTTGGCATTTTCAAGTTGTGACTTGAAGTTCCATGGGCCTGAAGACCTTTGCTAGTCACATTTTCTGAATATCCATAATACTAATATTTTATTATTAAAATTGATGGTCATTATGCTGTTAAACATTATGTAATATTGCATCAAAATTTGAAAAAAAGTATTTTGGGCACTGCTGCCATGAGGACCATTATGGGAAAATCATGTTACTTATGATTGCCTTACTTTCAATAAAAGAAATACAGGACTTAAATGCAGCCTGAGTTGGAAAAGCAGTCTAATTGGCTTCTTTTTCTGGAAGTTATACATATACAAAGTGTGAACTTGTTACACATTTTACTTACATTGGTATTACCTGTTGAGCATAATTAAAATTTGATGTTGAATTTGCAGTTTAACATAATGTACTTTTGCATCAGAATTGACAGTAGCCTATTTTGTGCATAGTTATTTCCTGTTTTTTGTCTGTACATTTGACAGCTTTGCTGCCTTGTTTAATGTTAATCTTTATGCCAGTGGTTATTTTTTAAAGTTTATTATTACTTATATTAAATAGGGGGTTAAATGTCTTACATCATTGCAAATTTTGTCCCCTAAAAATTTAATTCCCTTCAACTAAAAAGGCTGTTCAAACATATAATGACTTGTAATTGAAACCCCCCTCCGTCACGTCGGTTTTTTGGGTACGTACCGACAGACCAAAAATTCGCACCGTGCCAACCGCTGTCGACCACTGCTTGCTATCTGGGCAAATAAAACCGACACATCATAACATTGTGGGAACGTAGATGTGTTCATTAAAGTTGTGCAAATTAAAGTGATGCAAAATTTGAGAACCTTGTGTCATGTTTTCCCCTCTAAAACTAGCAAAAGACGTATAATTTAATTTCATTTAAAGGATCTTGCTGGCAACCATTATCGGGTCAATGATAACAGTTGCAGTGTAGAACGTTAGAATAACGTTTTCTGAACGTTTGTTGATGTTCTAACTACTTTTACTTTTATGTCACACCTAGCAGAAAGAGGAGAGTATGAGTATCCCAGGGGCGGATCCAGGATTATTATATAGGATGCGAAGCCAAACACACCCACCCCCAAGTTTTTTTTTTTTTTCGAATGTATTTCTTAAAATGAAATTCACTAGTTAAGCATAAACACACACAAAAAAATGTAAATAAATAAATAAAAAAAGGTTATGGTAAAACGCAATTTAATCATTTTTAATCAAAGTTTGTTCAATATTAATATATAGGCCTATTTCATCATTCCCGGAAGAAATGAACCCTAGAACATGGTGTTTTCAGTTTAATAGTTTATTTAATCTTTACATCACATGTCGATTATTTCGGGCACATATACCGACAGTCCGAAGGATCTTAAATCTGCACGTCCCCGGTTGCCGATTAACCCCACCTCCTATTTGAATTAGGCGGTTTCCCATGAGTTTGTCTCTAATACTTCCACACCCATTTACTTTTTTATTTTACTAAGGACGGTTGTTTGAGCACCTCGCCTATATTTAAGCCTGTATTGTCTAGCATTCCCGATAATACACAAATACTTCTGTCTATTATATGGCCAGAACATGACTCACTTGTTTTTGCATTTTTCCACAGCAAGAAACACGCGTTATAGCTCACCAATGGAAATAAACGATCTAAAAATAGACCCAAGTAGGACTTTTTGGGTCATCGTTTTCAGCGGTACGATCATTAAGTCATTGTACTTTTCGAGAATGCTCGGCGACGACGAGAAAACCAAAATGAAAGAAGACAATTCAGAGGATAAAAAAGAGACCCAAACACCCAGAAAAGGGGGCAAAGTTAAGGTGAGCATACATGAATGTGAAGAGAAATTTATCCATGTGAATGAATGAAATGAACGGTGATCGTCTGACAGTGATCTGAGAGTGGGGGTTTCAGAAAAGAACACTACCAGTTATTTTGTCAGCACCGAGACCGTATCATTAGGCCGCTGATATAATTAAATAAAGCACTAGACTCTCTCTTATACTCTCTCTCTCGTCACAAATTTTAGCTGGGAAATCAGCACTTTTTAAAAACGTTTCCCAGTGATATACATTGTATCCTTATATAAAACTTTCTTATTGCTGTTAAATCACATAGTAGATATAAAAATCGTCAATTAGGAGTACTAACACATGAATGTCTAGCAAACAGTTTTTGTGAAAGGAAACCTTCAGAGTGCAATTACATGTACTCATGCACATTTTTTTTTCATTGTGATTTCAGATATTATAGCGAGTTTTTTAAGTCTTACTCTTCAGCAGTTCTAGCTAAAAGATCAATAATAAATTGTAGTATTGAGCATGGTTCAAAATACAATCAATAAAGGAAAGGCAGATCTATACATGATGTTTTGATTAGCAAAAGGTACTAAAACAGAAAAGAGTCCATAGCATTATTAACAATGGAATAAGACCAGCTACATGTAATACAAACGTGTCAGTGTCCTCCTCCCCCCCCCCCCCGAAACCTAACAGTTTGCTGCATGAAAAGTAAATTGTGTCTTGCTGTTGCATGTCCACGTACTAGTTTTTTCTTGTAAACAAGCCCATTGTTGTTTGACCTTCTAAAATGTCCTTTAATTTTTCATCAAAGGCATATTGTTGTTAACTTTTATTGATCGATTATACTACATGGTATCAGATTGTGTTTATATACCTGTTAAGTATTTAGTGTTATAGTGCTAGTGGCACATCACACCATATGTTACGTCTGTATGAATTATATTGGGGTAGTATTGTGAATATTATTGATATTATGGCATTTCAAAGTTGATGTGAGGTCAACTTTTATAAACGCAGTTCATGTATTTATTTACATTTCACAGTCACATGATTCTGAGAAGGGTAGATTAAGTGTAAAATGTCAGTATTTTCTTTTGAACCTGAAATTGACATAATTTTTTCAATTTAAATCTGTTTTATTCTAGTATTTTTGATCACCTAAAATATTAAAAATTTATTTCCACTGTTGTTTTGTGAAATGATAAGGATCATACTGTAAGTCCCTTTGTAGTACTGTATGTGGGAAAATAGTTTGAACAGGATTAGAATATGGCCTTTCTTTCTAGAAGCAGTCATCAGGAATTAGACCATTATTTTTATATATTTCCACAGCACATGCATATTATTGCTTAGCAGTTGAACAATAGCAGGTTAAGGCAGACATGATGTATTTGCCCTATCCAGTTCAGAATTTCTCTGGATGGTATTTACTGCTAAAGCTGCCCCCTGGTAAATGATCTAGACCCCTCTCCCAGCCAACAAATGTTTGTTTTATCGTTTTCCAACCTGTGGCTTATACTGAGCTGATCTCCCATCATAGAATATAACTCTTTCACTTAATAAATTTTTGTTATGTTTTATTATTATTATTATTATTATTATTATTATTATTATTATTATTATTATATTTTTTCAACATGTCGGACTATCCCCATCTCTCTCTGAATGAAAATCAATCACCAGGTCATTGCTCATATAATTCTCTGTCAGTTGAAACAATCTTGTGGTATTTTAGGACATAATGTGGTTGGCCATTTGATGGAAGTCCTGAGCACTGCTGTAATTGAAAGCTATATATGAAACACTACAAGATAACACTTCTGGTCTAAAATGTATATATAGCCATGTTGCCTAGTGGAATCCCTTGAGATGATATAAGTTAGAAACCCAAGATGTGAGGTCTTGATATAGGTAAAAACATATACTGCTATGTTTTTTTATCTGCATAGCTATGAGAATGAATAAACATCACAGTACTTTAAATTCTTGGATTTAGGGAGGGATGGATTGGGTCTCGCCCCCTCCCCCCCTTTAGCTTTGGAGGTAGGCCTACACTTCTTCAAGTTCTCTCTCTCTCCAACAACTGTGTCATAAGTGAAATGAGTTTAAATGAAGCAGTTTTTATATCAGTGTATCCTACATATGGAAGCACTATTATGTACTTGTTGAGCTCCCCCTCCTCCTCCTCCCC